ATCGCGCGCGGCGCCCCCTCTGTGCGCGCAGCCCGAGCCGCCGCAGCGATGAATTCTGCCGAGCAGACCGTTACGTGGCTCATCACCCTGGGCGTGCTGGAGTCGCCCAAGAAAACCATCTCGGATCCCGAGGTCTTCTTGCAGGCGTCGCTCAAGGACGGGGTGGTCCTATGCCGGCTGCTGGAGCGCCTGCTGCCCGGGACCATCGAGAAAGTAAGTGGCCTTGGCGCGGTCTTCGGGTGGGTCCCTGGCCCGGGCGGGCGGCTGGGCGCGCGGGAGCACCTGGCGCGCGCCGGCTCGGGGCCCGCGCGCCCTCCTTTGTGCGCGGACCCGGCGGCGCGCCAGGCGCGGGGACCGGCGGCGGGAGTTCGGGGCGCCATTGTGTGCGGGGCTCCGGGAAGGGGACCCGCCCTGAGAGTACAGACAGCGGAGGGGGCCGCGGTGACGCTCGGGGCCGGCTCGGGGTCACGAGAAGGAGAGTTGGCTATGCCGGCGGCGTTGGGCTTCTGCTCCACCCTAACGTGAAGTTGGGAGGTCGGCTTCGCCCTCGCCAACACAGATCAGAAAACGTCGTCTCTGTGCCGCGCAGCTTTCTGCGATGGCTTTGTTTGAAAGGTTTTCGTCGCTAGCTTTGCAGTTTCACCCTTGAGTTGAATGGAGCGGTGGCTGGACACGTTTAAAGGATGCATCCAAAGCTAAGGGAGGGCCGAGCTGTGAAAAGACTTACTGCTTTCCCTATCAAGGGATTCTTCACTCATCCAAGCCTGCAGAACAGCGCGCACAGGGTGTTGAAGCCCCCGGCTTCTTTGGGAATGGATCGGAATTTTCATCTTCACTGCCTGCTAGATTTGAAGCAGTCTGCTTGCTGCTGCTGGCTCCCTGGCGCTGCAGTGTGAACCTTGACCGCAGCTTTGGGTGACCAAAGTTTGTTTTCATCTGCAAGCTCACGGAGCAGGCCGGGTCAGGGGTTGGGAGCACTTCTAAAAACAGCCAGCTTTTATAGGTCAAAAATTACTAAAGTCCTGTGTTCAAGATTTTGCCAATACACAATTTACAAGAAAACTTAAGATCCTTAGTAACTTAAAAGGTGTTAAATACAGAAACGGAAGTGTCCCATAATTAGCAAGAAGTAGCGCACGCACGCACATACACGCACACGCATACGCACAAGCACGCACACATGCACAGGCCGCAGGCAGGACAATTTGTTAATGTGCATTAAGTGACCTGAAAAAGCAGACGTTCTAGTTTTATTCATAAATTGGCGTGCTGCAGAAAACATTTAACGTGAATTCCGCATGCGTACCACAGATTCTAGGTATTTTCCCGAACATTATTATGAAAACAACATGCATCTTAGAGGGACTAACTGATGTGGAAATCACTGCTGATAAATGGTGCAGATCAATAAAGTTATGGTTTGAGATGGGACGACTGAAGAGCAGGGTCTGAGTTTTCAGGCACTGAGAAAACCGGGCTGTCATCTGGCCATTGTGATAATAAAAGACAGATGTCTGAGTGAGACACATGCTGAGGTTCTCCAAAACAGGCTTAAAGAAAACCCTGTTCGGTTTCTGAGGCAGAGCTGTAAAAAGATTCCTGTGCTATGTCAACGGACATGTCCCCATCCGTGTGCACGTCTCGTGACATGTTGGAACCATTGATATGGTTGGGCAAACTTCAAAATTCATATTCTGTTTTAAATTCTAGAAAGATTTACAGAGGAAGATGAAGCTCTTTCATCTCCGACAGAGAGAGGGATTGAAAATAAATGGACCCCAAACACTCTGAAACTACAGTCGAGTAGGAATCTCTTGGGTTGGTGGTGTTTTGTCCCTCTTCGTGAAGGCTGATAGTCCCTGGCTCTTGGGTGAGGGGCAGTTGTGGGGAGCAAACCATCAGCCACTGTCTGAAATAGTGGATTCCATGAGTTTGCATCTACCCTGAAGTCATCCGCACTCAGCAATGCCTGCATGTAATCACATTTGTCTCAGAGCACATGTGTGGGGCAGCTTTTGCTTACATGGTAGAATGCAAGAGGAAGGCCCTCTCTCCTTAAAAAGGAAATGCCTGGAAACGGAGCTGAACCTTTGTGTGGCATGCAAAGGTTCTTAGCCTGACCCATTGCTACGTGGACATGCTGACACTGGCGGGTTGTGAGCAGCGTAGGACTTCCCTTTTACAAGTTCATAAGTTTAAAATGGAGTTCAGGCCTGGGAATGAGTGCCGAATGAAGGCTTCCCATGTGTCTTTTATTAAGAGCACGTCCTGTTCTGTTTCACAATGGGGTTGGCTAGTGGGGACGGGACATTCTTTGAGCTCCAGCTCAGGCAAAGAAAATGGTGGGTCAGGGTCTCTTTCCTGAAGCCTCTGCGTTCACTCATCTCTTGGGAGAGACTGGCAGTAAGAGAGGGGTTCTGCTCACTGCTGTCTGCCACACCTCTCCGTTGCAGGAAAGAGGGAAGCTGGGATTGGCAAGTCTTCCCAGCTCTGGGGATCAAGGTCTTGCCCTTTGATTGTTCTAGGGAGAGCCAGGCCCTGAGTGGGTCCCATATCCTGTTCCCCCCTCTTCTGATCTCAAACCTGCCTTAGCCATCATGTCCCTGAGCCCTGGCAGCACCAGCCTGGCAAAACCCCCCATTTCAGACATTTCTAGGTTATTTTGTCAAAGGAGGCGGGTCCTAGATGCAAGAATTTTAGAGGATAGAAAACCACCCAGCGCAATCTATGCTAAAATGCTGTTTTAATTTTACTCGTGAATGCAGTGTACAAAGTTGCTTAATTGCCGTGAAAACCTCCAGGAACTTTGTTCCTACTGTGTGTCTCCTAGTGTGCCAGGGGAGCTGTGTGCAGCCCACATGACGTTCTCTGTGGGAGACCTGGGGTCACCAGGATTTGGGAGTGTGACTGAAATCAGGGGTCCTCCTGTCTCGTGGTCTGGAGGCCAGAAGTTCGAGATCAAGGTGTGGCATGTGCTTCCGGCATGTGCTGGGACTCTTGCCCAGGCTTTTCTCACACGGCTGGGGATCCCTAAGTTTATGGAAACACAACTGTTTATATGAGGTTCTCACTCTGGCCAAATCCACTACAGGTAACCTACCCGGTATGAGGGCATCTCCCCAATTACATCCAGAGTGGCCATCACCAGATAAACCCACTTTCTGAGCTCCCCGGGGTCTGGGATCCCCACGTGAGAATTTTGTGGGACACATTCCAATCACAGTCGATCTCAGTCAACTTATTAAGAACTTTCTTTCCTGCTTGACATGGTGGGAGGTAACTTTTGGTATTTTGTTTTTAATTATCAAAAAACAATTTTTAAATTTAAATATACCCTAATCGTATTCTTTCTCTCTTCCAAGTCCTTCTAGATCCTCACCCCCCAACTTTAAAATCTTTCTCCAAAAACAGAAACAAATACCCAGCACAACAACCTCACCCCCCCCAAATAAACTAAGAAAGCAAAATTAACCAATACCCCAAAGGGGAGGGGGAACCCCATCAAACTGTAACTAAATAAAAGCACACAATAAAACTGTATATGTTGGTCAGCTACTCCTGAACATGAGGCCTGCCCTGAGTAGTGGATATACCCAGTGTCACTCCATTGGCGAAAACTGGTTTCCCCTCTCCCTGCAGGTATAAATGGCAGCTCAGTTGTTAACCTTTGCCCTGGTGGCTAGGTTTTCATTCATTCATTCATTCATTCATTCATTCATTCATTCACTTAAAATATATAAAACAAAATAGAATATAATAAGATACAGCAAAAGCCATCACGTCAAAGTTGGACAAGAAAAATCAACAGCAGGAAAAGAACCCCATGTCAGAGCCCCGCCCACTCCAACACTCAGGAGTCCCATGAAGAGGAAACTGAAAGCTATAATATAGAAGTAGAGGAAGGATCTGGTGTAGGCTGTACAGGCCCTGTGCATGCTGCCACAGTCTCTCTGAGTTCACCTGAGCTTTGCTCATGTTGATCCAGGGGACCGTGTTTTCTTGGTGTCCCCCACCTCCCCGTCTTCCCCACTTCTTTGGTGTCTTCTTCTTCAGGGTTCCCTGACTCCTGAGAGAGGGAGGGATTTGATGGAAATGTCCCATTTAGAGATGAGTGTTCCAAAGTCTTTACATAATGTCTGAATGAGGGTCTCTGTATTTGTTCCCTTCTGCTGCAGGAGGAAGCTTCTCTAGTGTTGGTTGAATGAGGAACGGATCTATGAATATTAACAGAAATATCATCAGGAGTCATTTTATCTGTTGCTACACTTTTTCCTCTTTTTTTTTTTTTGACCAGTATTATTTGATTTTACCCTAGGTCTCTGGGATATTTAGTCTCAGGTTCTTGGTAACCTAAACAGTGTTTGGTTTGAGTTCCATCTCATGGAGCGGACCTTAAATCAGATCAGTTAGTTATTGGTTGATTACACCCATAAGCCTTGTGCCACCATTGCTGTAGCGTATCTTGCAGGCAGTGCACCATTGTAACAAAAGGGTTTGCGGCTGGCTTGTTCATATAGCTCTTTGGTAGCATGCAAAATACCTTCATGTACCAAAGACTGGAACTTAGGGGTGAAGGCTTTATGGAGGCACCAGCTCGGCATCTTAAATAGCAGGTTCTTAAGAGATTACAACAAGAGGAAACACAGCTAAATACAAGAACAGTGCGAGGCAGAAGGACAGATCTTGTTGGCGGGAGATGGGTGGTCTGGACTGACCTTCCTGACATGTGACTTGGGCTGTGTGTGCTTCACATCCCTGCAGCAGCCATGGGAAACCTCGCAAAGATTTGATATCTCACTTGATGCAAGACTCAGTTTGGGTCAGTCTTGGCAGCCGATAGGAAGAGATAGGATAGCTCCCTTGGGATGGGAAGAGAAAGAGTCTCTGTGGCTCGTGGGAAGACAATAGAAACGCCCACTCGAGAATGGCACTCCCTCTGGGCCTGGGCACTGAGTAGCACATGCTCAGTGGTGGCTGTGGTGACAGTGTTAATGACTTGATCACTCAGAGCAGGTTGTGTAGGATGAGGAGCACGGTCACTCTCATGAAGAAGGGGAGCACAGCAGCTCTCCTGGAGATAGGGAGCACAGCAGCTCTCATGGAGACAGGGAGCACAGTGGCTCTCGTGAAGATGGGGAGCACAGCGGCTCTTGTGAAGATGGGGAGCACAGCGGCTCTCGTGAAGATGGGGAGCACAGCGGCTCTCATGGAGA